AAATTACTGCCAAAAGCAACTCTACACCCATTTGTTTAATAAGCATATGGTAAAGAATCATTAAATGTTTTCAATAAACCATAAAGAGACAATCATAGAACACAGCATGGACAGAGGTGCTATCAAAAACCATATCCAATAAGAAACTTGGTTGTTATTTGTCTTATATTCAGCACTCTCAATTTAAGAAAAACTTTAATTTTATATAAAAAGGAATGATCTGAGGTCAACCTAATTTTAGAATTAAAAAAAATTGTAATTGACTTCCTCAAAGTTAAAACCAGAATGCTTTTCGCCTTTCCTTTTGTTTACAAATGTTACAAAAATTGTTATCTGTGATTTCTTACAGGCTAAGGCAAGAATCATAAAAAATTTGCCTAAGATTATAACTACCAGTAGAAAAAGCTACTGGAACATCAATCTAATATCACTATGAGAGTAAAACTATGCCAAAGCTGGGGCCTCCAGTTAATATTGTTTGTGGCAAGTATCCAAAACAACATGATGGTAAATTTCCAACTTGTTTTATTTAAATCAAAGAAAACAAGCTCTCTGAATCATTGGATTATGTTTAAATGCCTTCTGACTGAAAAGTTTTACATCATATAATCACTTGGAAAAAATCTTTACTCTGTAACAAGAATATACTGTGAACAATGTATCCTCAGCATCCTTGGATTTGCACAACTCTCCATTCGATTTCAGAGGCTAAAATCTCACAGAGAAGATTGTCCAACTTGTTCCCAAGGAGCCACTGGGGGACTCTGCTAGAAAAGCAGCTCGGCCTTTGGTTTGGCAGCAAACCACCCTAAGTACTAGGCCACCAGAACCCCAAGTTCAATTCCTAGTCAATGACCTCATGTACCAACTGACAAATCACCTGTTTGTGTGTCCCTATAATATTAAACAGGATTTAGCAGAGCTTCCAAACTAAGACAGATTAGGAAGACAGCCCTGGCAAGCCACATCTAACACTGGAAATTGTACAGATCCGAGATTCTGATCTGTTATGCAGAGGGCTATCAAGAGATTGGGGCTGACTCAAAGGCCATCAGCAAGCCCAATATAGGTAATTTCGGGAATGCTGCTGACAAGTTGCAGATTGCCCATGTTTTGAGAAAAATCTCAGTAACAAATTGCTTCTATTTGGAAAAAAATATTTTGTTTCCATTATTTTGACACAAACTTAAAATAATGGTTTAAAATAACAGAAAAATCTCCAGTTTCTATAATGTAGACAAGATATGTATAGTCTTTCATGCCTAGCTTTAGTCACTATTCAGAATTCCTGTTATTTGTGGCTCACATTACTTTTTCTTAGCTACATATTTGATAGGTAGCTCTGGCGACCTAGTGGAAAGAAACTGAGCTACGAACACAAAAGTTAGAGAGTTCACAAGCTGCTTTATGGGAGAAAGATGGGCAATATCCATCTGTGCAATTAACTGCACCTGCTGGAGGGTCAGCTATGAGTTGGGTCTAACTCAACGGCACATAACAACATGTCTGATGCAGGTATGCCAATTTCACATATAAAAAAACATAAAGACATTTTACATATATGTGAGTACATATATGGATGGGTATAACAGCCTAGACAAGATATGATTCTTACTCATAATAGATTTTTATAAACCTACTAAATTGAGAAGCTAAAATCAGCAGTTAAAAGAAAAATCTAGCCAAAGCATAGCAAAGTTACCAATACAATTAAGCAAAAAACAAAGTCAAAATATTTTTACTTAGTACTTTCGAGTTTCCTTATAAATTTTTCCCATTTTCATATAGTACATCAACAAAAGTACTCATGAAAAATAAGGTCCAAGGAGAACTTTTAATTCCTGAGTCAAACAATTCAAGTTTACAGATCTGCATATAAAAATAATGAAAGCAAAAACCACAATGAATCAAACAGAAAAGGCAAATGTATTTTTACAGGAAACACGGTAGCTTTCTAAAACATTAATAGTGGGATGGACTGAATGAATATACATAGAACACCCAAAAAGCAAAAATTAAGCACGAATATTAAAATTTTTTAAAACTACTGAAATAAGTAATACTATCCTTTGCCACAATGAAAAAAAGTGAGCTATATTACAATGCATTTTTTAATTCCAGTACTGAGATATAGAGTTCATAGCAGTGTTTTCATAAAAGCTAACAGAAAACTAAAATTTGTTTCTGCAGCAGTAAAGATGAAGCCTTAGTGAAGACAGTCAACAGAAAGATGACCCTAAAGGTTCATTGATGTATATCTGCAACCAGAAGTAGTTATACAGAAATATGCAGTACATTCAGCTAGCAACAGATTGGGTTAAAAAACAGTTTGGATTTTCAACTTCCCATAATACAGGGAACATTTTTAGAAGTGATCACATGAAAAGAAATATGTCTTTCACAGTTACGGGATGAAATTTTAAGCTGGCTGGGCACCAATGCCCTGATTTTCTCCTTTTTCGTAAACCAAATGACTTCCATATGCTGAGAATGTTTTATGTTTTAACCTGCAGTAGAGGCTTTACATCATTTTAATGCCCAATGCTTAAAATGCAACAGAATGACTCTAGCAAATGCGAGGAGGTAGTTGTGGTTTACATTTAATAATTTCAACCAAATTATTAGTAAAAAAAAATTGATGACAGCTTTTCAAAATAATTAAATTTGCATTCCCAAAGAATAAAACAATTTTTTTAAGCTAAGTATAGGTGAAAGAGAAAGCATTCTTATACGTCTTCCAGACTCCTATCAAGCCCTTTAGGTTTTTATTCTAAAATAAACATTTAACTTAAAAAACCTAGTAGTGATCATCATAATATTTTTAAGCAAGGACCTACTTCTGTTTACATTGGATTTTTCTTTAGTTTTTGCAAACGATTGTTTCACATTAAGATAAACATGAAAATAAAGAATCCTGGAGCTAAACTAAAGTTTCAGCTTTGCATGAACACAATCTATATTTTAAATTTTCAAAGTATTATTTTTTCTATTCAGGTCAATCTAAATATATATGTTATCCTCACATATAGGGACAACCTATCTGTGTGAACAACCAACTGCAAAAATTCTAAATCAAAGGTTATAAACCATACCATAAAATTATATAGTTTATCTATGTGGCATTCAGTTTTCATAGAATTGAAGGTCCTTGTGATAGATGGCAGTTTCAAGAATTAACAAGTTTGAGACCAAATATGCAAGTATGTTAAATTTTTAATAGCCTGAAAAGAAATTATGACATTCTTTCTGTTACTTAGTGATCCTTACACACACAAACAACAAAAAAAATTGGTGCATAAGAAGGCTTATTAAGCTTAAGAACTTTTGTTTCAGATGGAAGAGAGTACAAAATATATGTTCTTAAATTCTCCTGTTGCAGTGCTATTGGATATAAGCCTGTGCTGTTGCAATCCTTTTTCTTTTATAGCTTTAACTGAAATTAAGCAAAAAAAAAAAAAAAATCACAATTCAAAATTTCCAAACTTGATTTATAAACATGATTACACCTAAGTACTCAGTCTAAAGATTTAAAAATAAGTTTGATGCAAAGCACTGCAATCTATATATGATAATTACCTGTAACATAAATGCAAAATAAAAACAAATACAGATTTCTTTTCACCCTGTGATGCGTATTACAGTAAAACTCACAATCATATTAGCACAAACTAAACAAAAATGTTCAGAAGGCATTATGTCCACCCAGGAAGAGAAATGTGCCATGCCAAAGAAGGAAGAAAGGAAGGAGTTTCTGTACCTGCAAGATTCCAGAGAAATAAAGAAGTAGTCACATCACTCTATCTATATGATACATGAGGTGAAACCTCCGGAGTAATAACAAAATAGCAGTCACTTCATACCATTTAACTTCACATAGTATGGTATCTTTAATGCCAACTGCATTCTTCCCATCACTCATTCTCTCACACGAGCTTTCAGGCAAATGCGAGGCAGAACAGGGTGGGGTAGAAGATAAACACAAGCTGCGTCTTTCAGTTGCCCCCCAAATAATTTCCAACAGTTTTTCCTACTACGAATGTAAGTCACCCTATCTCAAAAGGTATACAAATCATTCTGGAGCTTTAATGGACACATACACAAAATTCAGCACTCCGGACCCCCGCCCTACACCCCGAAATCTTAAGTAATCATTAATACACTTTAAAGCGAAAAAAAGGAAATACCTCTACCTACTGTTTCGGGGTTAGGATGGGTGGAGGACTCCTTTCAAAGTAGCCCCAATAGTGTAACCAAAACACAGTTCCGGAATAAAATATTAAGAACACTTTTCCTTTCCCACCTATCTAAAGACTTAAGGATGCAAAAATCCATCTCCATACCACATCATCTCTACAATTCCCTTCCTACCCGGAGTTAGGGGTGGAGACCTGTCCAGAGGAGGGGGCGGAGGCGGGGAGGAGTGTGAGCCGGTAACGGGACACAAACGAGTTTCTAACCCCAGATACCCCGCACCACGTCGTCAGCCCGAGGTCCAGAGGCAGGACCTCACGCACAGCTCACAGCCCAGGCCCCGTACAGAGCTGTTTCCAGCTATCTAACTTCTTATCTACAGGCATTTATTCAATACAAATATATCACCCAAGTGCACGTAACACAGTTTAGTGCATAGTTACACCCACCACACAAAACCTAGACATCTTAAAATCAACTCAGTTTCCCAAACTCTAGTCGGGAGACCCCACCTCGCAGATTCAAACCTTCCGCCCATAGTGGAGGAAGCAAGGAGAAAAGAGTTGGGGAGACGCAGACGCCTTTCAATTAATGCACCTTATAAACTGCCCCACCCCTTATGCTGCTTTCGGGTCACCTACTCCGAAACCCCCTGCTCCCCACCCCCCTCAATTCCGCCGCTTAAGAGACCCTTCCTATACGATTTACTTTCTCCTCAAGACCACTGGGGGGGAAAAATTTATAACTTAGAGCGAGATAAGTGAGGGACGAGACTTGAGGTAGTCTGGCTTCAAAACCGCTCGACTCACCTCAGAATCCTTGCTGAGTTCTCTCCGCCCGGTACAGCCCCCTCCCCAACGTCCCAGTACGAAGGGCTGAGATAGGGAGGAGGGGAAAGCGGGAGGGGGAGGGGTATCTTCCGCGTGGGGCGCCCGACGGGAGGAACTGGGGAGGGGTTGAGGCCGGCACAGGAAGAGGAGAAGGGGGAGGGGAGGCCCCTATCTCCCAGTCTCCCCCTGTAAGCCTCCCTTGTCTCAATCACATCAGACTGACTGTCTTTGTCTGGTTGACAACCGCCATATTGATATCAACAGCCCCGCTCCCACCTGCTGCCGCCGGGCGGCCCTGGGAGATGTAGTTCTTGCCTCCCTTGAGTAAAAGCTCGGGACTCGGAATCTGGAAGGCTGAATGAACTACAATTCCCGGCAAGGCACGCGTCCATATGCCAACCCACAGAGAGGCGGGGAAAGGGCGTTCGAGAGCCACTGGGACTACACATCCCAGACCTCTATGAGTCCCAGGACCATATGGGGGACATGATATCATGCTGGGGTGTAAAGGGAGGTTGACGAGGCGGCGGCGATGAATTTGAGCATACGGAAGAGGAGTTCAGAGGAGAAATGGAGGGAAGAATAGAACTATATATTTTATATAAATATGCATTTGTATGACCACAGTTTCCACGAAGCAGCTAGCGGTGACTACATTTCCCATGATTCCTGGAGGAAGGGGACTGCATGTCCCGCAATGCTCTGTGTGGCTTAGTGGCGGAGATTGAACCGGAAGCCGGTTTCTGAGTCTGAGAAGTCCACTGACTGGTATTGAACAACCAAAAGTCCAATATGAAACTGGTGAGTCCCCACTCCTAGGTCAGAGGACAAAGGTGATCCTTTTGGACTTGGTCGTTTCTCCCTTGAGGAAGGAACCGTCGGAGAGGACGGGTGGTTGTTTCGGAACTAAACAGTGGGGTGGACTAAGGAAAGCTCTTTGTCGTTGTTGAGTAGATTGGAATCTCCCCTTTCTCCTTAAAACAAGCTGGGAGATCTGATTAACTCATTGTCAGCTACCTTTAGTTAGCTGATGAGACGTTGACTGTCTCATTTCTTCACCTAATGATCTGGTATTGAAACAGAAGGTGTTTGTGAGCTGCCACGTGAGTGGAACAGGAATGTTCTGTTGATAAGAGCTAAAAGCACTTCACTCTGCTCTTGTGGAAAAGACTTTGAATGAGCAGAATTAAGGAGTCCACAAATATTAGGTGGAACATAATAACTTACTGTGTTTTGTACTGTTATTTAGTTATTGCCCTTTGAATTCGGAGGGGAAAAAAGTAGCATGTGACACTGGAGAATTTTAATCTTAAACCTTAGACACAATTTAAATGGGCATTATGGCCTAGAGCTATAGGAATTGCAAGAATAGAGGTATCCCTGGAGAAATCCTTGCTTAAATCACAAAGCTCAAACACTAATAGGAAAGTGTCTCATCTTTATTTTGACCTTTTTATTTTTATCATGCTCCACACTTACTCATTACCATCCTTTTGGATCTGAATCAAAGCTGACCGTCCAGCAGATTTCCAGAGGCTGTAAATCCCACAGGAGGAAATTGCCTCTTTCTCTAGTGGAGCAGCAGGTAGATTCCAGTGCCTTGCCTTTGGATTGGCAGTGCAACTCTGTCCACACTAGACCATCAGAGCTCATTGTGCATACCAATTTAACATTAGTTTATTTGAACCTTATGGATCTAGTAATAGCATAATAAGGATAGGAAAGAAGCTGTGAAATATTGTTTTGCAGCCTTAGAATTCTACAGCCATGCTGGCAAGTTTATTTTTTGTAATTTCGGTACAAAACAATTTCTCCATTTACATAACTATTTAAATACGCTTTTCCAAAGTAGACATACTCTTCCCCATTTAATAATCATTGTGCATATGCTCTGCAGAGTGTCAGCTATCTACAGGATAGAACTCAGGTAACTATTTAGATTCAACTCTGAAACTGTCTCCACTTAAAACTGTTCATGTAAATGGAAGTCAGTATCTTAAACATTTAATAATGCAGATTTTTTGAAAATGGAAGTTGTTACTCTAAAAAAGCGTGGGATCTAAGGAAGGAGATGGAAAAAATAAGCCAAAATTATAGTTTATTGTATTAACTAAATTAGAGACATATTCAAGGTTTTGGGAGTTGAGATGGCATCTGGAGTAGTCATGGACAGCCTCGTAGGAAGGTGACATGAAGTGATCCATTGAGGGATAAGTAAGCCAGAGCCTTCCTTGAAAAGGCTTCAGCTCACTTGAGCAAAAGAGCTTGGCATTTGGTACACTGTTTTTCCTTTAATAACGCATTTGCTAAAGGCATTGGAGAACCAGGGTTAAACACTTCTGCTCTATTTAGAGATGTGAAGCATGGAAAGAAAACAGTAGTAAATTACTTTTTCTCTTAAGAACCAAAAGATGCCTGAAGTATAGGTAAAGTGTTCTATGTGCACTGTTTCCCTTATTAAAAACCATATCATTCATAACTTGTTGTGTACCTTTGAGTCCGAACCAACCCATAGCTGACTCTCCAGGGACTTCTAAGAGCCAGTTGTTTGCGTGGGAAGAGATTGTCCATCTTTCTCCCTTGGAGTAACTGGTGGATTCAAACTGCCTGTGAGATAAGTAGATAATATGTAATACAGAATTCCTACAGTATACCATTGTGATTTCTGAAACATTATCACCAATTGAGGTAGACTTTTCTCAGTGTCATATAATTTTTCACTTTGTTTACTACTTTACAAGTATATGACAGGCCATATTTTTATATCATGAAACAGAGGAGTATATGCAGAGAGAGAGAGATTCCAGTCTCTGATGGCCAAGTGGCAAGAAGCTTCATTGCAGTCCCGAAGGTATGTTCGAATCCACCAGCTGCTCAGTAGGAGACAGATGGACACTCGTCTCTTGTGAGATTTACTGCTGCCTCTGAAAACCTGCTGGAGGGTCAGCTATGGGTCATTTACGACTCTATAGTACACAACAAGAATGACAACTAGTTCACATACACACACACACATATGTACATCATACATATATGTTCTATGTACAAACATTTTCTATATATGCAGATATTTAACGTTTGTTATATATGTTTTTTATTTGTCTTGAAAATATATGAGGACTTCAAACTGATTCTTTCTGGTTCAGTCATAGCAAAGGAAGCAGCACCAGAGTATGTATGTGTTACCTAACAAAACTCTTCTTCTCCAAGTTTTAAGCTGGAGAAACAGCTGTGCCCAACACAAAGATGGCAGTGAATTGTGTTCTTTGAATGTGTATCACTTTCCACATCCTGCTAATAATTCAATTTCATAACCAGCTTCCTTCTCACTACACCTTTTCCTTGGGTCCCATTCTAGTACTTAAACTTGTTGATTTTCCCATTACAGTTAGAGAACCAGATCACCTAAATTTTTAAACTTAATGTCTTTTAGTTTTGCTTCATTGGTCAGTAGTGAGCCAGTTCAAACCATTTCAAAGCCCTAGAATATGCACAGCATTGTTGTTTGTTGTTAGGTGCTTTCGAGTTGAGTATGACTTATAGCGACTCCATGAACAATGGATCTGAACTCTGTCCTATTCTGTGTCATCCTCACAGTCTTTGTCTCACTCAAACTCTTTACCACAGTCACTGTGTCACTCCACTTGGTTGAGGGTTATTCCTCTACTTCATGGTACTTCCACCTTTCCAAGCATGATGGCCTTCTCCAAGGAGTAGCATTTCCTAGCAACATACCCAAAGTATAGGAGATGAAGCTTCATCATCTTTGCTTCCAAGAAACACTCTGACTGCACCTTCTCTGAAACATATCTCTTTGTTCTTTTGACAGCCCATGGAATATTCATTACTCTTCTTGGACATCACAATTCAAAGGCCTCTACCCTTTTTCTGTCATCCTTATTCATTGTTGAACTCTGTAGCAAGTGACTGAAAAGACCTTGACCTAAATCAGCATACCTTAGTTCTCAAACTGACATCATTTGTTCTTCAATAATTTGGAGAAGTCCCTGATTATAGACTTTCCTAGTGTAGTACATTTCCTGATCTCCAGAATGTTGGTTCCAGGTGTATTTAATGTGGATCCAAGTAAGATGAAGTCATTGACAATCTCAATCTTTTCTTCATCTATCACAATGTTACCTATAGGTCCGGTGGTGAGGATTTTTGTTTTCTTGACATTTAGATGCAATTCATATTGAAGGCTTCAGGGTTATACAGTATAACATATAACAATTTAGCAGTTTATATATGTACTGTTCAGAAATGTTGATTATATTCTTACTGAGTAATCATTCTTATTTTCAAATTGTTGTTCTTCCATTATCTTATCTGATCTTTGGAGTTGTCAGTTTGAGCCTTTACAGATAAATCTTAAAAGGTCTCCATGCTCAAGGAAGACATTCTTTACTAGTTAAGATAAGCTACTGTTCCTTGTCTTAGAAAAGCTCAATAGATAGTTTTGACTTAAGATTAAAAGATTATCTCTTGGCCATAGTTTCCCAGTTTATCCACTTTTCATAGCTCCATGTTGTTGTTGTTGTTGTGTACCATACTCATAGCTGACACTCCAGCAGGCTTTCAGAGGCAGTAAGTTGCTTAGGCCATCAGAGTTCCCTTCATGGCTCCATGAGAATTTGAATTTCCCTTTGATATTGTCTTCCTTTTGCTGCCAATAAATAGCTATACATTTATTTAGTGAGAACAGTCATGTTTTTGCAGTTGTGATGACTTTCTAGGTAAAGTACCTTTCTCATGTTAACATATAACCACATCTTGTTGATTCTACTTCCTAAATTAATGGTTTTTTTGCACAGATGCATTTCTCTTCAGCCCCTTTCATATAGTCATCATGCAGATTATTTTCACTTGACACCTGGAATTTAGCACATCTCCCTTAATTGGTTCCTTTGCAATCTGTCTTAACCCTCTCAAATTTCTTCTCTATACCATATCGCAGAAATGACTATCTTTGCCCTTAGGATAGAGTCTTGTTCCTTCAGAACAGTTCTTGGCTGACTTTCCAGCCGGTTTTCAGAGGCAGTCAATTGTCCATCTTTCTCTCATGTAGCAACTGGTGGATTTGAACCAAGTACCTATGAGTTAGCATCGTAATTCCTTACCACTAAACCACCAGGATAAAATTTCAAGATTCTTAATTTACTTCACTGTCAAACATAGCCCTGCTTCTTCTCCAGCCTCACATCTCCCTTCTTTTCCCTTGTTCTTTTTGTTCCAAAATATATTGAACATATTCTAATTTCTT